GGACTTTAGCTGCCCTTGTACTTACCTTCAGAATTAAAGCTTCCTCTTCCAAACTCTTGTTTGATGCCAGCTCAGGTGCTAGACTGGTTTGCAGTGCTTGGCCTGACTCACACTTCTTACCAATTCCTTGAATTATCAGAGCTCTCAGAGACCCTCCTGAAGCCTAGGGGGGAAGACCTGCACACTGTAGTGGACAAATATCTGACTCAGTGTCTTATGGTAGAAAGTGGATTCCCTAGAGCTGGGGAATCATCTCTAGCAGGCATATAAAAGCTAACATGCTCTGCACCTCAGGATGGAAGAATACAAAGGAGTTTTGATTCAGCTTTTGTTAACACTTATGCTCTTTATCATTCTGTTACCAATAATGTTATTTTACAGACATAAGAGTAATTTCGTCTAAGTCCTACAGGACCTGTATTGCCTGGAGAAGATGTTGGCAGCACTTCTGATATTGTGCTTTATACCAAGACCATGAAACCATCTCTTCAAAGCAGAACACAGTAGTTATTTGACTTCAATGTGCCCAGATGTTCTAATTAACAGGTGTTTTTCTACTTGCCAATCCACAATTTCAAGAATTCCTCCTTCTCAGAAGCATTTGTTTTCTGACACAATTGCATCTGGGCTCTTCAAACATACATACCACAGATTTTCCCATCCCACTGAATGCTGAACTAGAAAAGAACTACGGACTAAAACAAATGCAGTCTTGTTTCTTTGGTTTCTTTTATTGACTTCCTTCATACAAAGTACCAATCATTAAATGACAAAGAAAAAAAATAAGAAAAAAAAAGGGGATTTACCTATATTCACTCATTTTCACAGTTTTTTAATTCACATATTTTAATAAAAACTTCCAACAGATAAAAAAGTTATGTCTTAATCTGCTCCTTCTCCTATTTGTTCAAGGCACTTCTTTTTATTTCTCAGTTGCTGGGCTACAAATTTTCTTTTGCATCAGCCCAAAGCATTTGTACCATTTGTATTCCTTACTCTTGAAGCACTTTTCTTACACTTCTTGGTTACAGAGTTAATAAAGATGGGGTTGGTTTCTAGTTCTTTTAAGGTTGATTTTGTGTACAGTGTATGTGTGTGTGTATTATACATGCATGCGTGTATGTGTATATGTATGTGCATGCTACAAGTCCATAGCAACACAGCAAACAGATATATTGGCATTAACACATTTAAATTGTAATACAATTGAATTTTTATTTTCCTTTTAAAAGTCTGTTTATACAAACTCAATAATTCAAACTCCTGTCACTCCAAAAAAAGAAAACCAAACCAAAAACATGTTATTCTATCACATGGCTTCAGAAGTCCCCAAATTGACTTCTATAAATAAATAAATCAGATCTGTTTTAGAATTCCTAGCACATACAAGGAGTCTTCACTACTTCAGCAGCCCTTCACTCTAGGACAAATTACTTCCTTAACTGAACACTAGCCTCAGAAGACAAACTTATTTTCTGATTACTTAAAGGCATTTACATGACCAATGTTACATATCTGTACGGCAAGCATGTCTGCCTTTACCAAATCCAACTGAAATCAATGTGCTTTCACTGCAATGAGCAATTCGTTATTTTCTGGTTTTATCCTGAAAGGTCACCAAGAGATAACACTGATTTCTGCAAGCAGGAGTGCCTGACTGCCCCAGTTGAAATGCAAATATATATCCTACTGCACTCTAGGGAAAACATTCTAAATTAACAAGGCAAATCATCTGAAGATCCTAACAGACAATTAGGCAGAAACAATGATATCAGAAGTATCAGTCTCTTTGTAGTAAGCTGTTTTCACTCACATGATAATTTTAATTGTGGTATGTGCAAGTACAAAACTGAAGTACAACCTCAATCCACACACAGTTTTACTATACAAAATTAATCTATTTTCCTAATGTTGTACAGGCAGCTAATTAATTGTAGACAACATAACTGTCACAAGATTAACAAAATGCTTTTATGCAGGTAGTAAACACTGCTTGCTGAGAACATTACTTTATTCAGAAGACAGTTTGAACTGAATACCTGCAGGAAAATTCCATTTCTCTTACAAAGAGACCAGTGACCTCACTGAGTAAGCAGTTCACTGTGCCTGTCACAAAAGCTGTCAATTAGGATGAGAAGTACACTTTACAATCAACAGATACACAGGCTGAGAATCCACTACCCTGAGGGTAGCCATGATAAATTACTGAAAACTATGCTCCTAAAACTGAGGAAAAAAAAATCAAAACTAAGTATCAGTCATGCAGTAGTTTAATTAGTTTAATATTCAGTGACATCAAGTAGTGATGTTATTCAGCTGAGTGAGGTAATTCAAGAAATAATGAGGCTGCTTAAGAGCCATTTCAACAGGAGTATATACTCCACTCCTTTGACCAAAGCAGTGTCACATTGAACAACCAAGTAACCACCGGCTGTTCAAGCAGCAGCAGTAGGTTTTGGGTGAAGCACTGCTCTGTCATGCCCTTGCTTCTGCTGACGTGTTTTTATGAAAACCTCTGAGACTCATCATCCAACTTCAGTCTTTGCCATCACTTAGCAATGAAAAGGGCTATGAAGAGGCCTGGACAGCTAACATGCTCCACGGGCACACAGGGTGCTGGACACACAGGGCATGGTCGAGCAGGAGAATGGGCAAGTGGCTGATCTGTATGTAAATTCAGGGGCAGGCTAAGTTCCTGCTTTCTGTCTCTCATCACAGATTCACATGGATTAAATGTGTGTAACTGGCTACTTAAGTCAACTTCAACCTATTTCAAGATTAAAGGAAAGAAATTTTTTAGAACGATGAACCAAGGCTGGAAACATTAAGGTACTGCGACACGGGAAACTCACAAGATAGTTGGAAAATCTTAACAGGAACTCTGAAGTGTGTAATATAGACACTACTATTTAACCTTGAGGCGAAAAAAAGAAACCGAGTTAAACGGATTGAAATAATTTCATCTGCTTTGAGACTTTAGAGCAAAGCAGAACTAAGAACTTCTTTCTGTGAGCTAAAAGTTAGCATTAACACACTTTACCTTTTACATTTACTACTTATTATTTGCAGTACAACGTTAAAGTCTTAACATATAACTCCCATATTCATATTTTCCTTTAATTTACTAGAGTTTGGTAATAGAACAAAAACATTTTCTTCTCAGCTCAGCATTACCAACCTGCCATCAGGAATTTTCATGACACTGGGACTAGCCCCACTGAAAGTTGTTGCCGCAAAAGTGATGCCTCATGGTGCTGAGGAAAAAAAACCTCCGGAGCAGTTAATTGAGGATGAGGTAAGAAAAGGGTTTAATTTGTGCCTAGGCATAGATGTTACAAGACGCACGTGCCGGCCGTGTTCAGGTGTTACAATTTATAATACTATCTGTCCAATCCCAAGGGTTTCCACCCCGTAGCCTTCGCTCTGGTCCACCCCTTGGGAATTGGGTCTGGGGGCTTTTCTTCATCATCTTCACCTTCTTCAGAGCACAAAGGGTACACGGTCACCTAGTTCCTGACCGTGTTCTGTGGTTCGGGTCAAGATATAAGTGTTCTCTAAACAGCATAGGCCTTGCCTTGACAAAAGATTAAACATTTTCTACTGGAATTCAGGGATAGGATTGATATGGAACATAGAATGGGGTGAGAGGGTTGAGGAATGTGTAAACTAAAGGGTGCTAAAGGGTGAGGAATAAGGGCTGCAGCTTCTAAAACCTACTTCTACTATTTTACTTATAAAGCTTATAAAATTAGGAAAATAAGAAAAACCAAATGGACCTTACGACATCAAAAGGAACCTCAGATGTGTTACAGGTCCTGTGGTACTGAGGGCACAGCACAGGCACACCAACACACACAGAAACAGGACGAAATTGATGCACCAGCTAATTCAGACGTTTTAACAAAAAAGGCAAGTTTGCAATGAAAATCTCAGAGCCCTTATCAAATATCGGACTAGACTTAAATGCCTGAATAAGTTTATGAGGTAACTACCAAATTCAAAGTGAGACATTTGTACATCTACAACACTGAAAGCCTAAAAACACGAACCTGAAATAAGCCCTCAACCAAACTCTTTACAGCTTTGCCATTCATAAGAACATTACTATTTACCAAAGCTCCATCTGCCTTTCCAAGTTCTGGCACTGACTATAGGTCTGGAATTGCATCTGCTGGGAGTCTTGGTGTTAGCTTTCTGCCCAAAGCCTGCTCCAGATGTCAACAGGCACACCTAAATCCCTAGGATGTATCTAAAAAGGAAGTATGGCCAACCTTTTAAGTACTCTACGTGTTGGAGAACAAAACATGCATTTCAACTGAAATACCCATTTTCTTCCTGTTTACATCACTGTGCAAGTAAAAGTTCTTTTTCTGTGTGAAGCTCCCACTACAACCTAAAGAACTTTTGTGTTCTACGTCATAATTAAAAACCAAATCTTCAGATATCTCCTTACATGTGTAAGCAACACTGTGCAGCACTGTAGCCTTGTACTTGAAAATGTGTATCTTCCTTATGAGCATTAAGCTTCACACTACTGCAATTTCGACCAAATGATGAGACACTCACTCCAACATAGAATTCTGTCACAGTTATGCCAAGAAACTGCGTTGCACATTATGAAATTAAAATTGTAGAAGGAGCCAAGGAGTAGACAGCTGATCATCCAGACCTCTGAATCATGATTCATCCAAAGGATGTTATTAAGAATATACAGTTTTGTCCCATGAATTGTTTGCAAAATAGCAAAGGACTGCAAGACAAGTGTTTCAGTAATCTCACCTATGTCTGGATCTAAATAACAGTGAGATAAAAAAAAATAACCACAAATAGACAACATAAACACAAAGTAACCCACTTTTTATTTCAGTTAAGAAACTATAAATCTTAGAAGAAACAGGATTCATATTTAGCATCTGGCCATAAAAAACTGCATGTACACCACAAGAAAATAATATCTTACAAAAAGTGACTTTCTGAAGAAAAAACAAAACATTTTTAAATTGTTTTCTCTCTTGAGAATTTATTTTCATGCTTTTGTTTTCTATACAGAGTGGAGCAAGCCAAACTATCTGTATTCTGGAGGATAATGAAGTACATACCAGGATGTCTAGACATCTGCAGAATTAGCCAGCAGTTAAGGAGGACAGGCTCTTTTAGACTTGGTTGTATCAATTCTGAACCAAGAACCACTTATCTTCTTTGTAAAATGCAGTACCATAATCTTGTAAAGCTCCAACAAAGAGGCAGTCTGTTGACTTGTATAACTATCTTTTCCTTTCTATCTTCTTTGCCAATCATTGCTTTATTGCAGTGTCTCGGGTCAAGATGGTTGTTTAAAGTTGAGCTGTTGCCTGGATTTTACCAAAAATATGTATATTACAATCATATATACACTACTTCTGTTGCAGCATCTATGATTTCTTGTCTAAGATAGCACATCAGTGCATTTGATCCCATAAGATAGTAACAATATGCATCTCGTGTAAGTTTACAGATTCTGTAAAAGGCTAGGAGTGAATTCTCATGATCCACTTTTCAAAGTTACAGATTTTCATATCAAATGGCACCAGTCTCTTGTCACATAACTGCAAATTGTCTTGAACACAGTTATGCCCCCTGAAGTTCCTAATCCACTCTGACGATTTTGATGCAAGATACAAAAGGGTTTGAGCACGGTAATATAATCACAGAGGCACACAATATTCTCAGTTGGAAGGGACCCACCAGGATCACAGAGAGAATGGCCTGTACAGGGCCTGAACCCACAACCATGGTGTTATTAGCACCATGTTCTAACCAGACTGAGCTAGTCTCAGGGTCCAAACTAAACCACATTTATTCCCTTTGGACAATTTTTTCACTGAAGACCAAAACTTTTAAAACTATTTTTAGATCAGAGACCATTAACAAGTACTTCTCAGAAAACACTGTGTTGATACACAGCCTAGGCCAGCAGATGTGATCTAAATCTCTACTTTGAGAAACAGGAAGGTTGGGCAATCCTGTTCCACAGTGAAAAAGACTACCTAGCCAAGACCCTGCTGGAAAAGGCTCATGTAGTGCAGAGCTTGTGATTTTGCAGCTTCTTACCCTCTAGGACCCAGGTATGTAGTATGGTCATGCCAAGGACAGTACCTAGAAAACAAAACAGATGAAGGAATGGAGCTCTGGAGAACATAAAGGCCTGAAGGCTTCTAGATGTAACTGGGACACTTCTTGCAGAAGAATGATGGGAGACAGCAAAGGTCAGCTCACCTGCACTGGACTGGGCCAAGAACTTGAACTAATGCGGGAAGCTGGAGCTGTGCTGGACCAGTATTTCTAAAATGGCAGAGAACTCTGTAGCCATTAAGATCGTATTGTGAGGAAATGCAAGGAAGTCAGTGTTATGGCCATGTCTGGATATAGGGCTCAATTATGTTTATAACAGTGAAAAGTGTGATGGTGAAATATAAAAAAACCCCAAACATTAATCTTAGAACTGTGAGATTAATTTATCTGTACACACAAACAGCACTTGTTTCAAGATGGGCCTCCACACCACAGATGCCCAGAAAAATTTCTGATGACTTCAAGAAGGATCATTCATATTCATAAGGAGTCGGAATGTCCTGCTTGTCTTTTAGCAGCATGCTTTTAGCTGGTAGTTCCACAACTATCCAGCTGCTCTTTCTCACAGCAGTAAAAGGAAGTGTAACAATTCCGTCTATTTGCACTGACATGAAACAACATGACTCAAGTGGCTTTTCACAAGTCATTGCCATCAACTAATCTCATTGCTATCTAAGATTAAAAAGGAGATTAGTCTTACTTTTCAAATAGTTCAGTGTAAATTAAAGACTTGGAAAAAATCATAATGTGAGTAACTGCAGTCTTCTACATGATTCTGTCTGAATCACTGGAAACTATGATTTTACTTCATGGAAAACTAACCAAAACAAACACCTTTGGTTTTGTAACCTTTCTATTTATATACAGTTCTGAAAACTATCATATTCCTGGCAACAAAACCAAGTGCAATTTTCTAATTTAATAAAATTGGTTTGTCCTCTCCTTGGATGCAAGCATGATATTATAATTTCATTAATAGTTTTAAAACTCTTTCCAATGACAGAAAAATTCTGGTTGGAGACACTGATTCTATGCAGAAATAACTAATCTCTAATATGAAATTTATTCCTTTATCCCCAGAAATCTAGATCTGAAATTTCTCTATTCATCTCACCCCATATTTGCAGTTCATTTGTACCAGTTTTTCTGGTTTTATTCATTGATCTGAGAATAAACCCATTATATTTATAAGAGAAAAAGTAGTATCATAATTTAAGCTTCAGCATAAATGAAGTATGGAAACACATTTTTATATACTGAACACTTGTTGACTAATGAACAACATTATTGTAGGTCTGCTTTCTGTTCCTAGCATGGATATTTATCAAAGTGTGAGAACTACTGTCAAGGAGATGCAAAAAAAGCATGTGGCCACCTTAGGCTTTTCACTCAGAATTCCTTAAGCAAGGAAACTTGTATCTTCCTTAAGATTCTGATAAAGCATCAATTTTGAAAAGGTGAAAATCAGGTTGTTAATTTAAATAATGAAAAACACACTTCATCTACACATGTGCACTTATTCCCATACTTGGAATTATGCAGAATAACAGTACAAAATCTTCAACAATTTTCTTTTTCTTATAAGCATTTTTCTCTTGAATGTGAACTCTGGTGCACTGGACTCTCCTGCTTTGAACAAAAGTTGTCCCAATATGCAGAATCCTCAGGTGCAACTGGAATACCAGATGCAACTAAATCTTCAAAAGTCAGTAATGTAAACTGTGGTGGGTTAGGCTCCATGGAACGTACCTAAAGGAAACACATATTAGCATAACACAAATCAATAAGCATTAATTTCCTTCCTGTAAAATTATCTGTCCAGTTTAAACTACACACTGCTTACTGAAGAAGAAAGGAAATATTCTGCATTTGAGACTAGTGTCACTGCCCCTAATTTAGGCTATGCATTAACTAACAGAAGCATTTGACAGGCCACACAGAAAAATCAAGTTTTTCCTTCACAATCAAGTTCACGAAACTGACAGAACGAGGGCTATAGAATGCTGTGAGTGTTTAAGTCCAGTAAAAAGAAAGACAAAGATCACCATCAAACAGACTGCACTTCATTCTCCACCAGATATGATTATTTGAGACAATTACATGAGGATTTATTCCACTAGAGGTGTGCCTATTCATACTCTTTTTAATACCAGTAATCCTCATGGTTGTGCATGCCTCTCTCAAACTCAAACGCTACTTAAGAACTAAAGCAGTCACAACTAACTCGCCATTCCCCATGTTAAATCCACATTAAATGCAGACCGAGATATTGGAGATGAGAGTGTCATGGTTTCCATGTTAGTTTCATCGCTCCGAGAAAAATCATGTTTCAAAGAAAAAAAGATTTGGGGTTTTTTTGAGCACATGTTACTGTGCAGCCTGCTGTATATGCCTTCTCCAAGTGAAGTTGTTCCCAGACAGCAGGGCAAATAGTACAGCTTGCATGAATCCAACATAAATACGGTTGATTCTTCTAAATTGACATTTGCTCAAACAACATATTCTTAATGTTTAATATTTGATAAAATTCAGCAGGGCTCCTCTGCAGTGGGAGTACTCTGTACATCACACAAACTGACTCATGTCTGACGCAGCCTAAGCCTATCCAAGTCCCTCTGGTGTGGCAGCATGACCCACTGGCATATCAGCCACTCCTCCCCGTTTGGTGTCACCAGCAAACCTGTTGAGGACGCACTACACCATCATCCAGTTTCATTAATGAAGGTGTTAAATGGGATTGGGCCCAGTTTTGATCACTGGAGCACATCATTAGTTATTGGCCTCCAACCACACCTTCTACCACTATCACTATGCTCTGGCCCCAGCTGTTCAGCCCGTTTTCAATACACCTACTGCCTGCTCACCCAGTACACATATCAACATTTGCTCCAGGAGGATCTTCTGAGAGGCAGTGCCAGAGGCAGAAAGTACCAAAACATAGGTGGACAATATCCACTGCCCTCTCCTCACCTATCAGGCCGGTCATTTCATTGCAGAAGTTTACTAACCACGACTTTCTCCTGGTGAAGCTATGCTGACCAGTGCTGATGATTTCTTTGTCCTTGCTGTGTCTGGAAATGGTTTCCAGAATTAGCTGCTCTGCCACCTTTCCAGAGATGATACTTTATTCCTCATATTGTTTGGACTAGTGTACAGGCACTGTAAAGGGACCCCAGCATGTTGAGTTCCTGGAGAAGGGTTGGGGAATGTGTTCATAATTGTACTTTGTAGGCCTTTTCTTGCCATGTACCAGTGCTGCAGATGATCCCATCTAAGGTCTATTTTGAGGATTTTGTTGTCCCTTTCTGTCACATCAATGGAGGTGGGCCAGTAAATAGGTAAAAGCGCAAAAAAGGTCTACTCTCCATTTCAGTGTTTGAGCAGTAAGCTACTGCTAGGAATAAATGCAGAGACAACAAAATGGGTTGTAACAGTACAGTAAAACTCTAAGTTGTCAATACAGACTGAAACCAGAAGTTATTGAGCTGGCTGTCACTTTATGTCCTTACACAAATGACATAGTGTTGAGGCATTCCTGTTCATCTGACATTTTGGAGATGAGGTAAAGCTGCAGGAACTGTGCCTAGAGCCATGTAAGTGACATCACAGATGCATACCAAACATGAACTAAGCCTCAGAGCCAAGATGTTAACAGATATAGTTTGAACTTCAGCGCATGCTTGTCTGAAGGCAAGTGTGTTCTGACTGAATTAATCTCAAATCTTGTGAAATTTAGCAAGTGACAGACAAAAAGATATTTTATAGCCTACATAGGAATTATAAAGAATAATCTCTTTCATTGAGATTTGCCACAAATTAACTGTCTAGATCTCAGTAAACAGTGCAGATACATGTTCTGTTTCTTAAAGCATATAGCAGTCACTAGCAGACACTTTGTAAAGATTCTTGACACTAGAGATTTTTCACTATAGTACATTAATGTAACGATTGATCTTTCCTGTGAATTGTAGGTACTTGCTATCAGTACAGGAAGAAAGCTGAATGTACATGTTCTGCAAACAGGACATAATGACTTATTCCTGTGATTGCAGAGGGGGAACGAACTCAAACACTGACATCCTGGAACAATTTAACAAGGATGAGCAACTTCTTCTCTCAACACATCTAGCAAGAAATCTAAAACAAAATAATTTTTTACAGTTCTGTTACATAGAGAGAAGGTAATTTTCATTTCCTTCATGTTCCTGTTAGGAGGAGACCTAAAAAGGTACAATGCAATAGTATATAAATTTTCACTTAATTTTTATTTTGGGGAGTCATAGGATGCTTACTAGTCCTGCTTAAAACGACCCTTTTTCAGTGAATTGAGATATTGAAATTCAGGCCATCAGAAATTTAGTCAGTGGACAATCACGCCTTTGAGACTTCTCTTGATTCAAAGATTTTTCATCATAATTCTTGATATCATTACTATTCTTCCTATGATAACTCCAAGGTATGTGACAGTGGTGGTGAAGGTCAACACTTAAAAATCCTGGATTTTTGTAGAATACTTAGGTAGCTGTCTTTATAAATAATGGCCATCTTCTTTTCACCTCAGACTGCATTTATCATTATTCCTGTCAGAAGAATGATATGCCATCCTACTGGGAACTTAAGTATGTCCTGTCTAGCAGACTGAACGTATTTTCTTAAAATAGTATTTGTACACTGATTTAACACAGTAAAACCCCAAAGGCAGCTTATACCTCTTTTTTCTTTTTAACCTATCCAATACTAGTTAAAAGGTCTGCCTCTTTGTGTTATTCATGAACACAGACAGACTTTATTACCATGACAGATGTGTGCATTACCACTTTTATACTTTTATCCATTCCTACACTACGTTTTTTCTAGTTCCTGGTAGAACCTTTGTATCTAAATAACAGAAAACAACTAACCCATTTTCTTGTGAGCAATTAAAACACCACAGAAAAAGTCCGGCAATTTGTCACACTCTCCTTTTCTGATTGTCTGGCTATTTCAGCTACAACTTGCCAGTCTGTCTCTCCCTTAATTTTGACTTTTATTGCTATTTTATGACTGAGATCTTTGTTAAATTGCACAGAAAATCCTGAAAAGCTTTTAAGTAGCTTTGTTCCTTCTCTCAATAGACACCACATGGAATGAAGACTAACACTGCTGTTCTTCCCATCTGTTGGTTGCTGTTGCTTGTCTCAAGGGTTATCTTGTCATAATGGTGTTTGAGCAATGGATCTGCTCCAGGATACATGCACTGACAGTCCCCCATTAAAATCAACTTGGTGAGGTGTCATACAAGCTTAGCAAGTTCAGATTGGTTCACTGTCTCCATTTCCCTCTGTGAAGACCACCTTTCCCACATGAGTATTAGCAGGCTGTGACAAAAATCACTTAATCTTCTCTTGAATGAACACACTGATCACTGCATTCCAGATCTGACATTATCTGTTGCTGTCCTCTGAAAGCATTTCTCCTTCCCAAACCTCTCCTGAAATAGACACAATATAACTACAGGAAACAGTTCAGTAATACTGCTTGGTTCTGGTTAAAACTGTGCTTAAGATAAGCATTTTCCTTGGCCCTAAATCTGAGATAACACATTTTTAGCTACAGCATAAGAATAAGTTTATGTTCAGATGATTAACAAGACCTGAAACTGTTTCATAATTTCTTACATCAGAGTCCTTTTGCAGAAATCCCGTCTGTTTCCCGAGTGCCACCGCAACATGATGATGGTCATCGAACCGGGTTTCCTAGTAAAGATAAAAAATGGCAATGTAAATGCATTTTCTTTAGTCTGTTTTCAGCAAAGACTATATAAATGTTTAGATTATGGTTCAGAACAATAGCAGACCATAATTTAAAATAATAACATTCAAAAAACAATAGTAGTTTTCAGCAGTCTTGGAGAGCTCAGTGATGCTGATACATTAAAAAGTTAGCAGGGCTGAACTGGTTATCATCACCTCACCCATTTGTAGATATTTATATTCAAGTTTGTGACCTGAGCATTCCTTTACTGGTCCCTTCTAAGTGACAAACCATATAACCCATCTTAGCTATCCATTTTCCAATGAGATGAACTGAACTCCTGGAAGGTATTCTGAAAAACAATGATTTAACTGTAAACTTAAACCAATGACTCTCTTACTCTTGGCTTCAGACAGCACGTAAGAGCACAACTTTAAATTCCTGACACACAGTCTGAGCACTGATATGTATAAATACAAATCAATTTTTCTCAACGTTTTTAGATACCGAACTATATATTTAGTGATAGAGTTTTTACTTACTTAATAGTTTTACTTGAAAGTGTTTTCCTCTACAAAGGCTAATAATTCACCCTAAACAAATAATTTCAGAAAAAAAAACCCCAAACCCTTCTATATACTCTTTCTGAATAATGCTTATTTTATAGTCAAGTCATAATTCCATTGGCTTTTTAAAAAATATATAAGGGGAGGAAATAAAATTTTTCTTGCTCTTTTATCCAAAAGTTTTCAAATAATTTCTGCCAGACTTTCTAAAACAGAAATCAAGAATAACAAGAATTTTACCTAGAAAAGTGAATGATTTAGATATCACCATTAATCTGAAAATCAGCTAGTCATTGAAATATTCTCCTGGGATGTAAGTGTGAATCTCCAGTTTTGGCTTCCTTGGGAAACATTCTAACTGCACTATATTATAATATAAAGCAAATATCATGATGTCCTATTTCCTCTGACAGGTTGTTGGTTGCCCTGTTTTTTCCCCTTTTAATCTAAGCAAAATGTCTTTTAAAACAATGCTATCAGTCTGCATTAGGTTTCTCTACAGTTCATCTACTATACAGAATTTTCTAATATTTCAGTTGCCAGGATACCATTTCCATGATTCCCAAACAGCCCTATATATAAAAAAGTGCCAAGATAGCTCAAATCTACTCAGCCCAGCTCAGCTAAGACAGCAGCTGCTCCAGTCATGTGTAGCAGCAGTACAGCTGCAAAGTTGGAAGACTGTTCTGGCAAACATGGGAGCCTTGGCAGAGAGGTGCTGGTGAGGAAGTAGAGCTATGTTTTTACTTTGATCTCTTCAGCACCAAAACTGTGCCTATTTGACAGCTTTAGCTGTGAACTTTTTAACCCTCATCTACTTAAACACAAAACATTGAGCTCATGTTGTTTTACCTTCCTGCAAAGTGCTAGTAAGAAAATGACTGTTTCAATTCTGCCTAGATTAGGAAAAATATTTAATGATCACAAGAAACACTAACAAACCTACAGCATAAGCAGTATTTCCCATGACTGCAAGAGCTACAGATGTATTCACTACGAAGTATTTTACTGGGTTTTCCATTCCTTTACTAGGGAACAAAACTGAAAATAAAAGAATGAAAATAAAGAATGCTACTTCGGAGGTTTGATGAAATATAACCATTTGTACACAGAGTGCGCATTTCTGGAACTTCATAGAAAATAAAAAAGACTATGAAAATTAGATGCTCAGTCAGGTGTTCCTAAATCATTTATACAGTTCTAGGCTAGTAGTGTTTTGTGTTTGTCTAGATGGAAAAATTACTACATCGGCTTTTTTATCACTTCATTTCCCCCCTTCTTTCAATTTTTTTTCCTTTTTTTCTTGTTCAAGAGGTTAAAGACAGATCAGAACAGAGAACACAGTAAATCACATTCAGCACTGGCTTACACCTGTAGTCAGAAGTCTACAAACAACGGTGTTATGTTAAACACACTGAATTTTCCTTTTGTGAAGTCAACTTACGTATTACTTCTTATTCGAGTAACTAAAAACATATTATAGATAGTATTTTACACATTGTTAATAATGTTTTCTCAGTTCAAAGTTGTGTTTAACAGGCAGTGACTCTTTAGATAGACCATTCCCTGAAGAGACCCTGCTCAATGAACAGTGAATTTAAAAGGTTCCAGCTCATTTATTTCCCGTATCCTCTGTGGTCACGAAAGAATTTTCAGCATCTTGCAATAAAACACAATAAACCATGTCCTTCATCTGTCTGCTAGTGGCCAGCAAAAACCTTAAGCTACAGAGTTAATGAAACATACTGAAGCAGCAGATCTGCTTGCCTCCCTGGAGATATTGCTATACCAGCTTATAAAATTAATATCTTAAATGGAAATAGATGAGAAAACAAAAAGAGGACAATCGTACAGAATTCCTTTGAGGTAGAGAGTTCGTTTTGTTAAGATTCCTCTCTATAAACCAGAAAACATATAATGGAGGAAAATTTGTTTTTATCTGCACAGAACAGCTCTCTTACTAGAGCTGTTCAAGCTACAGGCAACCGAGACTTATAATGATCTCATTTCAAAGACTTGGTGGAATGATGTGTCTGGGATTCAAATCATTATGAATTCACTCAACAACAGACAGCTTATGAGGAAACTGTACCTTCCCAGACAGCAAAACTGATAGCTGCGTGAATCCAGGCGGATTAGCTAGTCTTAGAAATAAAACTTTCTATTCCTATTTATTCCTGATAATGCAACAGGATTAACTTCTCTTACTGAAGGTGAAAGATGCTAACTACAGTTGCACACCAGCAATTACTAAATATGTTTCAAATTGACCCAGGTAATCTCTCTTTGAAATTCATGTTCTGGAAGTAATGTATTTGCACAGAAACAAACCAAGCAAATATTTGTTGTGAAAAAATGCAAACAATTATTTGTGCAGCAGCAGTGATGCCAAGCGACTCTTAATCCCAAAGCAAGGTTTAGGATAAAATGCGTGTTTCCTTCATAAGCTAGTTGTATCCAAAATTGAGGTAGGTACCAAAACAGAAATGTTTTGTATTTCATTTAAGATTCTTCTTTAATATAGATTTCTGAAAATGCTCTCCAGCCATTCTTCCTTAACAACTGTACACAACTGGGATGGAAAGAGTCATGAATACATTTAACATTTGCAAATCAATAATTAGGATTTTTTTTTTTCACAGAATGTCTTATACTGGAAGGGACCTTAAAGGTCATCTCGCTCCAATACCCATGCCATGGGCAGGGACACCTTCCACTAGACCAAGTTGCTCAGGGTCCCATTCAACCTGGCCTTAAACACTTTTAGGTTTAAAAACTGCCCAACTCCTCTGGGCAATCTGTTCCTGTGCCAATATATGTTTCCACATATAAGACATATATATATATATATATATAAATATAATATATATATACACAAAATAAACTTATGTTTATATCTTTTAATTATAAAACTTGTCATAATTGTTTTCAATCAACTTCTTTCACTTTTACTGAAATTAACTACTACTTCATTCTTGTCGTGGTTTAACCCAGCAGGCAGCTAACACTACAGAGCCTCCTCACTGGCAGAGCATTATGAGGAACTAAAGAGTTCTTTACCTAGTGTGTCAGTGTATTATCAACACTGTTCTTATCCTAAATTCAAAACACAGTACTATGCTGGCTACTAGGAAGAAAATTAACTCTATTTGAGACGAAACCAGGACAAATCTTTAAGTTTATTTTTTTCAATGGAAGTAAATGGAGCATACAGAATTACCCATTATAACTATCATCATCATAATGACTCCATCCTAAATTAACACCCTGACACAAATACTGTTATCACTCTTCACTTGGCTAGTTATCTTTTTAATTATTGCTAAACAAGTTCACCTTTTTTAAAATGAGGAAAGCATACACTGTCTATATGATTAAAGCATATTTAATACACATAGTAGACATATCTTAAAATTAAATTGATGTTTTAAAATGAAATTTTACAGTATTTTTTCTCCTACTCCTTCCGAAATGGTTTTGAAGGGAATCTGCGTAGCAATCTCTGGAGTACTATTTGCAAACAAGTGCCTAAAGGTAAATCATTCCATCAAGATCAAACAAGAAGAGGCTGTTTCTGAGCTACTACCTTCCATCCAAGCTCAGAAATATATAAGGAGTGGAGGGTAAAGACACTTAGAGCAAAACTAAACCTGTGGTAAAGGACCCACAAACAGTAAACTACATAACAAAGCAGTTCATTTGGACTCACAATGCAATAAATCTGTCTTTTAGAATGTTCACAGAAAATGCTATCTCCAATATGAATTGGCTTTGCTCTGACTGTAAATAGTGACAGGGTGTCTGAACAGTGTCAACTTTGATTTGTTCTGATTCATTAGTATTTCTTTTGACCTTTTAGGCATGATAAGTATAAGGTGGTGGATCTTTTTCTAGTCTTTATGCATTTAAGTTGTCTTTTTTCACATGACATAGTACTTTGTGGTAGTTTAGTCTGGGCCTTCCTTGGTGACCAGTTTGTAACCAAGGAAGTGTCCAGATTTACCCAGTATTCCCTATGATTTTTACGTAAGCCAGGGTATTAGAAGAAAGGAGGAGAGGCCTTTGGCCTCTTTCCTTCTGGCAGATTGGAGGTGCAGGTTCCCTGCTGTTGAGTCTGCCGTGTTGGGGAGTGAGGCCTGGTAAGGCCTTGCCGACCTTGGGAGACGGAGGTTGCCGGCAGTCGTTCCGGAGCGACTTTCTGTTGTCCCGAGGAGAGTAGAGAGATATTCTTTTGCTAATTCTTTTAGTTGCTAGATCTTGGGCTATTGATCGTGTATATTTTATTTTGTTTGTGTTCTTTTTTTCCCTTCCCCCTTCCCTTTCCCTTTTGAAATTGTATATATATTTCAATTGCATTTAACTGTAATATAAGTGTAAATATATTTTTATATATTGCTTTAGCTGTCTCTCCCTTGCTTCAGTTCTCTTGGTTTTTTTTTTTCCTCTTCTCCCTGAGGTTTGGGGGGGGGACTTCTTGTGGTGAGGTTTGGAGACTTGGCAGGGAGCCAGCTTCAAACCATATCATACTTTCTGAAGGAGATTTCAGAATATTTGGTGTAATTTAAATGGATAAAATCCCCTTTGTTTCTCTCTTCCGTTTTTGGTAAATTAGATTGTCTAAAACTGAAATGAGACAATCCAAAACATGGGAAAATTTTAACTTTAAACAGTGTCTAGCTCTCTTTGATCATCTCCTATCATAAAGGGATAGGCAGATCTGAAAAGTAAAAGTGATATCACTATTTTTTTTTATTTGATAGAAAAGCTCCCTCAAGCAAACTCAGTACAAGAGGGAACCCAATGAAAATACTGTATCAGTAATATGCAATCTTACAAATGATTCTTAATGTCTGCTCCTGGGTGACTCTCAGATTTCTCAAAACTTAGTGTTTTCGATTAACAAGTTATTTCAAGAATCTGGCTCAAGGGCAAATAGAGAATCAGAAAAGGACTTTTCTTAGTAAGAAAATGGACACAACATTAAAAGAAACTTGAGAAAAGACAAAAAAGTAAAGTGATGCTTAATTTTAGGCTGGGGATTGGTAACTAAATTTTTTTTATTTCATTTTAATAAATGTTGATATTTAAATAAAATCACATCCCAATTGAGCTCGTATTTAAATGAAACTCGATATTAAGCCCTTTCTTTGAAACACCAAAATTTGCCTCATTATAAGGCTTTGCTCTTGGGAAGCAGGAGGGCAAGTGTAGAAGTGGAGACATTCCTCAAAAAAAGTTACATGAATCTTCCAGCAGTAATTACTAAGTACTAAGGAAAAATCAAATAATTAGAAAGCATTTAAGTATTACAGGGAGCTATCTACATCATCATCATGCTATTTGAGTCAATCAACCACAGGCATGTTGTCAAAGACCAAAATTAGGAGTTCTAGAAATCAACCTAAAGAGCTACACCGCAATAATACAGAAAGCATTCTAGTGCAAGATGTGTCACAGTCTTTCCCAAGATTTTCTTTTCCCAGTGTATAATTCCAACTAGTGAATTTCATGACATACTGATATTGCCATACTATAGAGAAATTGAGTAAGAGGGTTGATTTAGTATGGATAGACTTATAAAATAATGCAAAACCAAAAGTGGATTGGAATGCTGAATGGAATGAGCTGTGAAGAGATAAACTTGGAGTACAAGTTAAACATTACTGGTACATTTATTCTTTTATACCACATGCATAGAATACACGTAGTTTGTATACTAAACAAAATAAGTGTACAGAAGAAATCTGTCATTCAGACACCTCTACTGGAACAGTTGTCTCCAACAACATAGATATTTTCAAAATGTAAATGTGTATTTGAAACTGAATACTCTTGCTGAAAGTGCACTTTCTGTTTTTTCCATTTCTTCCTTGAAGTGGTTAAATGAACATGCCTCTGGGGCATAGAGAAATGGCATTGTGATTTGTTTTTAAAGCTCGGTTTCTTAGGGTAATTAAATAATTTGAAGTCGTTGTATAAAATCAGAATCGTTTAGGCTGGAAAACACCTTTAAGATCAGCAAGTCCAACTGTTAACCCAGCACTGCCATGTCCAGCACTAAACTATGACCCTATCAGTTGTTTCTCTATATATCCTTTAAACTATCTTAGATTATACCAGTAATTTCCTATCAAATCTAACAGGATAGATGTTTTAGTGATAAGCCTCAATAACTTTGAAGAAGAAAAACAAAAGCCCAAACCCCAACACTCAGATAGAAGATTGAACCCAAACTGATGTTCCAATTAAGCAAAAGTAAGTTTTTTCATCTGTCCACTTCCACAGACAGCACCCACTTCAAACTCACAAAAACACATTTTTGTATGGACAAGAAATAAGAACCCGGTGGAACTGAAGACGCCTCCTCCATTTCAAACATCTAACCTAAACACTAATGGAGTTGCTTAATCACTAGGCCTATTCTACACCAACTGATGAAGACCTTTAAAGTCCTAGACACTGTTCAAGAAGACAGGTCTGAATATGTTTCAGTGGACTTCTTGCAGACCCTAGGATGAATTTCATAGAGTGCAAGAAACATATTCCAGGAACAGGAAAAATAAAAAGCCATTATAATGAATATATCTATGGGGTGTTCTTGCAATAATTAAAAATACCTTAAATTGCTGCAGTTTTATAACCTAAGTTTTGATTTATACACGCTCACTGGGTTTATACAGAGTAAAGGTGTGAAGTGGCAACTAAAAAAAAAAAATCAAATATGCAGTGGAACCATAGGGAGTCAAGACTGTTTATCACTAGTGAAAACGTACTCCTTACCTCAAATGTCCACTCCTCTTCTTTTTCTCCATCCAGAAGCATTTTTGTCTCCTTATACACCTGCCCTACTTCCAGCTGCAATGGGGATACATTAAACTCAATTCTTTGCAAGTTAAAGCCAATTCCAACTCCAACAGCCTTTAAGAAGCTTTCCTTTAAGGCCTAAAAGACACAATAAGTGTATTTTATTCGTAAGGGCTGTTTTCAAACTGTTCTATAAACATTACATCTGACTACAAATGGTAGACAAAATAAATTTAGGACTTATCCTACTCTAAATGTGAGGGTAGACTGATGCAATTATCAAGAGAAAAAGTTATCAACATTGTTAATACCCAGCCTAACTTTCTGCATTACAATAAACATGAAACTGGAATTACCCAGTGGCACTTACAGATATGAACCCTCTACCTTCTTCTAGCTATGTGTTTAAAACTAGTAATAAATCCTAGAAATGTCAACTGTACTACGGTTGTCAAAGTTATTCTGATATAAAAAAAATCATTAAAATATCAAAATTATTTTTATCTTCACATGAAATGGTATCAGGTAGCACCAGGAGACTTAGATTGGATATTAGGAAAAACTTCTTCCCTGAATAGGTTTTGAAGCACTGGGACAGGATGCTCAGAGAAGTGGTTGAGTCATCATCCCTGGAGTTCTTTAAAAGATGGGTAGAGGTGGTATTTAGGGACATGGTTTAGCAGTGGATTTGATGATCTTAGAGGTCTTTTCCAACCTAAACCATTCTATGATTCTATGCAACTATAAAAAGTAACATTTTTACTATGATGAAAATAATAAATTATATCAAAAAAATGTGCATGTTTGCAGAGTATAAATAGGGAAAAAAGTCTTACCCAGTGCCGATAAAACATATCCAGCTGCATCCATTCATTACTCATAGACTTGATTACATCCCACTCTGTCTCAGTAAACTGTCGCTTCATGATGTGAAAGAAATTTGGAACTGAGCTACTACCTATAAATTAGACAGAAATATTTACAGAAATTTTAATAGAGTAGCAATAATAAGCAAATGGATTACCTCGTTATTGCACTAGAAAAAATTCATAAGAAAACATTTATGAACCAACTCTGCTCTACAACTTAAATTTATATAGCCTCAAAGCAGCAAGCTGATGATTTTTCAGGACATAGTACGAAAAAAACCCATTTCAATAGCAGAACTGCTGTATAAAAATGTGAAATTATGTATTTCCACCATTCTATAAAAAGTAAAGTATTTTACCTGTTTGATTTTACATATATATAAAAATATTATATTAGTTACAAAAGTAGCATATACAGTCTCTGGCATATCACAGCTTGATCTAGTAATATTTTATAAAACAGCATGCTGTTTGTCAAAATTCATCAATTCTGCCTTCTGCCCTAGGATGCTGTGATACCAAAGAAACCCTTTTTTAAGCACTTGTAGAATATAGTCTCCCAAAGTTATCACATACATATTAAGCCTTTTGGATTGGATTTATTCTGCAAGGAAAATGGGGGTACAGGGGTGCCCATAATAACAGTAAGATATATACCAAGGAAAAAGAAAAATCCCCCCTAAAAAACCCAACCTCAAACCACTAAACCTCAAATCCTTAGATTAAATTTAAGCTTCCTCAGGGGCTATCTCACTTTTCCCCACTAGTGTAGAAGACACTAGTGCGGTTATGTTGATCAATGGCATTTCTATAATACACTGGAAGTTATGGACCTCATTACATGCTTGGCTACTCACCCAAGAGCCTATATTAATTAGCATACCATGCAATCTGTCCACTTGGGCTTACTGCTGGCTAAAAAGACAATGGCAGAAAACAATCTATTTTCTTTAGTAGGGATAATAAAAGTCTGGATAGAGACAGTTCCGCTTATTGCATAACCTATCAAAAAATTTGTTTCAATTTTCTTATTAAAAAAAAATATTAGTCATATTTAACCTAAAAAACAGCCAGCCCTCCTAATACCACACTACTTTTAAGAACCCATCACTAGATAATGGCTTAAAAAAGGGGCAGATCCTAATTACACCTGTGCCAGTAATTCTGAGTTGACTATTGGCAAGGCACTTTCTTTCCCTACACTAATGTTTGCCATCTTAAATCAAAGATAAGGGTATTAACCCTTCTCTATAAAGTGGTTGCCTTCTATAGATATCTAAGCACTAAATAAAAACAGGTATTGACAGCAGTAATAATTGATCTGAACATTCAGGTTTTCTCACAATTTCCAAATCACACTGCAAAGTGTTACCTGACAGACATCACACAAGACATAGCAGTGACATTTTAGAGATGCCCTCAATTGCATTTATAAAGTGAAGAAAACATCTTAAGACTGAAATTTTGTTTACAGTTGCAGCAGTCAGCTAATGGAATGATTCAGAACAATCTAAGGGCAGAACTAACGTTTCTCTCTGGAGAGAGAAAAGCAACCACAATGCTAAGTATGCTTTGATGAATTACCAAGACAAATGCCATATCCATCTTACACAATCCCACTTCCCTGAAACAATGAAAAATCACAAAAAAATTTGTTGAACTTGGAGAAATGTATTTTCTTTCATCTGTGTTTATATGGCCCATTTTAGAATCATCATCATGATGGCCAGGCTTCGTGAACGAAGATTTGGGAAGGGCTCTACCCACGTTTGTTGCAAGCGCATTGGTGGCTAAAAAGGCCAATGCGAGACAGGCATGTCCGGTTGCAAAAGGCACAACAGAAAGACTCCTTAGGTGGTGTATTCTGCAAGGCACAATTCTTTCTGTGTTGTCTTTTCTCCTTGAGAGTGATCCTGCGTGTGTTCTCAAAGGAAGCAGCAGCGTTATAGATGGTGTGTCTCCAGGCCTCCCAATTGGAGGCCAGAGTAGACCAGTTATGGTGATCAATATGGCCAAGGTTGAGATGTTGTTTCAGGGAGTTCTTGTATCTCCTCTTCAGGGCTCCTCTCTTGCGGCAGCTGGTGGTAAGTTCACCATAAAGCAGGATCTTAGGGAGGCGGTGGTCCTTCATCCTTGAGACGTGCCCTGCCCAACGCAGTTGTGTTCTCAGTAACATGGTCTCAATAATTGTGATTTTAGAATCAAATAACTGTGTTAATACTTGCTCCAAACAATTCACTTTTTTTTCTATTCTCTTCTTTTCTGGAGTATGTAAGACAACAGTGGTAAGGTTCCAGCCTCTTGTGATTCAAACTATAAAACATTCCAGAATGTCCTGATGTACCTTTCCTCCTTCATCATTTTCAGAGCTCTCCTGCTTTCAATAATCCACGGCTATTCACACTACCTGAGAAAACCATCCAAGACTATCCACACTACCTTCAGCACCCAGAGGCATATAAAGGCTCCTGCATTGTCAGTCCTGCCATCTAAACTTTATCACGCATAGTGAATACACTTGAGACTTGAACTGTTTAGTACACTAAGTGTATATCAAGCCCATATGCTACTGGGTTTTTTTCCCCCTCATTATTTGACTTCTTTTTTCGAAAGGTTTCTTCAACTGTTCAGCTACCCTTCTTGACACTTTGTTCAGACTTACATAGTAAGTCCACTTTCCCATCCACTCCAGTCGTTTGTCACATTCTTCCTCTGAAGAGCTCAGGCACCACTTTGTCCTTCAGTGCACTCCCCTCCTGTCTCCTTACTGCAATACAGTTGCTTTGCTCTGAGGAATGGATCGGAGGACCTTGGACTACTATTCTCCATAAATTACTAGCAGTACTGCAGCCTGCCTAGTCCACTTCTCCATCTTCGCTTAAGTATCAGAGAAAGATTCACAGAATTATGAGGAAAATTTAGGTTGAAAAAGATCTTTGGAGATCACCTAGTCTGACCTGTTGAAAACCAGAGCCTCATGCTGGGTTACCCAGGGCCCTGTCAAGCAGAGCATTTCACCTCTTCTCTGGGGAGCTTAGTCCAGTGCTTTACTGTTCTCATGGTGAAGAACTGTTCTATAGAGATGTAATTCCCCCTGAATCAACCTGAGGTTGTTGTCTTTTGCCCTGTTACTGTTCATGCTCATGAAGACAATTATGTAAATCATCTTTACAGTTACCTTTCAGGCATACTTTGGTTAGATTCCCCTCCTAAGAACTTTCCCCTCGTCAGGTCAAACAAACACAGCTCCATCAGCATTTCTATATAGGTCAAGTTCCCCAACCCTCTAATCACCTTGGTGGTCCCTTCACTCAACCCCTTCAATTTTACCATGTCATATGTAATCATACCTGGCAGGTATGATGGAGACAAAACTAGAAGAAGTAGAAAGTTTCCATTCAAATGCTATTTTGCTTCTAGTTTGATTTAAAAAAAAAAAAAACAACAAAGCAACAACAAAAAAGCTGCCTCAAATGTACTTGCCACAGGTTACAAAAACTTTCTTTCAAAGAATGGGAACAACTTCCATATAGCAATTATTCACTTGGTTTTAAATTTATATTTCTAAAGTACCTCCTATTTATCAACTTGTTTCAGAAAATAAACTCATGTCTTAAATAAATACTTCTTACTTACCCGTGCCAAGAAACAGAACTCTTCAAAATCTACATAGCTTTTTTTCAATACAAACTGAGAAACAAACTCTTTTAAATGCTGAGCACAATTTTATTGCCCTTGCTGATTTTTAAACACATTTTCATTTGTATATGCTTTTATAATTCACTTATTTTCTTACCTTCACACAAACTGCTGCGGATTTTTTTTTCGCATTTGATTATAAGAGTTAATATTCTAAAAGCATTTTTCTAGCCTACTGTAAACTTCACACTTGAGTATGTGTGCTCTGAATACTGGAACCAGTTTTTGTTTTTACATTGGATCATCTTGCTGAAGAGAACTCTAATAAATGTAACCAAAACATACTACAGCTTCCTTTCATAATATTCAGTTAACCAACAAAAATTTCTCCCAGTATCTAATTGCCTAAGAAATACAAACCTGTACTTTCATTTGCATTAGACAAAACTGACTGGATGGTTTAGCTATTCAGTGGCCTAATTTTAAAAAGCACTTTTTCCCTGGAATGTTTAGCACTGTCTCCTTCCCATAACACTCATTAACTTACTTTTTAGGGAACGTTAGCCAACAGAGAAATGACACACAGCAAATCTCTGACCAACTCCTACAGTTGGTGTCCAAATTACTTTGATATTCACAAGACAAGCTAAAAGTTTTATCCTTGAGACCAAATCATATTTTCATTCAATTTCTTTAATCCACAAACATTTAAGCCTCACACTCCTATCACATCCTAATGCACATCTGAAATGAAAGTAGTTCTGGGAAAGTAGTTCCCAGAAAAGTTAAATGTAAAATTAACACAGTTGTGAAGACAATTGCTTACCTATTATTCCCTGCTAATAAACTTTTAAGCACATTAGATCTCTAAGAATATAAGCTGAGTAGTCTTTCAAAAATTGCCTTCTATGCATTAAAAAACAAAAAAATCTAACCCAAAAGTTAAGTTTCTTCATTAAATTAAAAGCACGCAATACTTGGGAAAATTTCAGGAAGAGCGAGGAGGGGAAATATTGAGTGATACAGGAAAAAGAATCCAATATTAAGCCTGCAAAGTAAACATGCTATATACAAATAAATGAGCATGTTCATATGCGTGTATATGTGTGTGCATTTTGGATTTTCTGCAATAACTATTTACCTTGGAATACATAATGTCACCTTTTCTACTGCAATGAGAACTGGGTATTTTATCAATTTTTTTTAAAGACTGGGCAAAAAAAAATCTGCTTTGCATTTACCCTTTAGAACAGCAAAACCTTAGATCAGATATAAAAGATTGATTTTAAAAAGATGCAGGAGTGAAAAGTAACAAAACATACTATGTTCTCTAGTTCTGTATTCGTATGTGCTTTAGAAATAGTACATAAATACAGGCTAATTTCCCCCATTTCTCTACCTGCTAAAGAAGCCAAACAAGTTGCATTTGTAGGAGGATAAAAGACAATCA